TCTCGTGGCCTCCCTGGCGTACTTCTTTTGCCTATATATCTCCATATACCCTAAAACGATCGGGAAGCACAATAGATCGGGAGTTCCACTGCCAGAAGCCTCCGTAGCCACCAAAAACCAATCTAGAGCCGTTCTGGCACCTTGCCGGAGTGGGAATCCCTCTCCGGTGACCATCTTCATCATCTTGGTGCTTTCCATGACGAGGAGGGAGTAGTTCTCCCTCGGGGCTGAGGGTATGTACCAGTAGCTATGTGTTTGATCTCTCTCTCGTGTTCTTGAGGTGGTACGATCTTGATGTATCGCGAGCTTTGCTATTATAGTTGGATCTTATGATGTTTCTCCCCCTCTACTATCTTGTAATGGATTGAGTTTTCCCTTTGAAGTTATCTTATTGGATTGAGTCTTTAAAGATTTGAGAACACTTGATGTATGTCTTGCCGTGCGTATCTGTGGTGACAATGGGATATCACGTGATTCACTTGATGTATGTTTTGGTGATCAACTTGCGGGTTCCGCCCATGAACCTATGCATAGGGGTTGGCACACGTTTTCGTCGTGATTCTCCGGTAGAAACTTTGGGGCACTCTTTGAGATTCTATGTGTTGGTTGAATAGATGAATCTGAGATTGTGTGATGCATATCGTATAATCATACCCACAGATACTTGAGGTGACATTGGAGTATCTAGGTGACATTAGGGTTTTGATTGATTTGTGTCTTAAGGTGTTATTCTAGTACGAACTCCAGGGCTGTTTGTGACACTTATAGGAATAGCCCAACGGATTGATTGGAAAGAATAACTTTGAGGTGGTTTCATACCCTACCATAATTTCTTCGTTCGGTCTCCGCTATTAGTGACTTTGGAGTGACTCTTTGTTGCATGTGGAGGGATAGTTATACGATCCAATTATGTTATTATTGTGGAGAGGACTTACAGTAGTGAAAGTATAAACCCTAGGCCTTGTTTCAATGCATTGCAATACCGTTTACGCTCACTTTTATCGTTAGTTACCTTGCTGTTTTTATATTTTCAGATTACAAATACCCATATCTACTATCCATATATCACTTGTATCGCCATTTCTTCGCCGAACTAGTGCACCTATACAATTTACCATTGTATTGAGTGTGTTGGGGACACAAGAGACTCTTTGTTATTTGGTTGCAGGGTTGCTTGAGAGAGACCATCTTCATTCTACGCCTCCTACAGATTGATAAACCTTAGGTCATCCACTTGAGGAAAATTTGTTATTGTCCTATAAACCTCTGCACTTGTAGGCCCAACAACGTCTATAAGAAGAAGGTTGTGTAGTAGACATCAATTGTCTTCACCAAACTCACTGGTTCTATTTCCTCAACTCTTTCATTTCTTCATAACTGTGTTGAGTGCTTGTTCGTATCTGTGTTTGAAGATTTTGACTGAAGACTTTCTCAATTTTCTCAGTTTAATTTCTTCAGTCTGTTTGTCTTCATCCTATATTATTCTGTGTTTACGCTTTTTGTACTCTGTGCTTGTCTTCATTTCATCATGATGACTATGCTTGTGTTCTGTTATGTTTACTTATGAGTACTTATTTCGCTGCTAGTAGTTCTTCGCTAAGGAATTTTCTCACCTGTAAATTCCTCAGTGAAAAAATCATAAAAATCGCCTATTCACCCCCCTCTAGTCGATATAACGCACTTTCAAAATAATAACGATCAGGTACAACAACATAGAATGAGGAAATGAAAGGGTTGATGAGAGAGAACCAGTTAGCTCGGTGAAGACAATGATTTGGTAGACCAGTTCCAACTGCTGTGACAGTTGTACGTTTGGTTGGAGCGGCTAGGTATTCAAACCTGATGACACACAGTCCCGGACACACAGTCCTCACCATATTCTCCTTGAACTAAGGTCACACAGACCTCGTCCAATCACTCGCGGCAAGTCTTCAGGTGACTTCCAAACCTTCACAGACTTGGTCACTTGGCGATCCATAATTTCCTCTTAGATCCTCTAGACCATGACGCCTGACCGTCTGGAGGATGCACAGTCCTCAAAGGTAACAAGCGTCAGTTCCACACAGGAACAATCTCTTCAGTGATGCTCAATCACTTGGGTTCTTAAGTGTTTGGTTTGGGGTTTTGGGTTTTTCCTCACTTGATGATTTTCACTCAAAGTCCACGGAGGATGGGATGCTCTCTATGACAAGTGTCAGTTTCTCGCGGAGCAGCCAACCAACTAGTGGTTCTAGGGGGCGGCTATTTATAGCCTAGGGAGCAGCTCGACATGATAAGACATAAATGCCCTTCAATGATATGACCATTAGGTGGGTAGATATTTTAGGATAGCTGGCGCATAGCACAACAACCGCCGGAAATTTGAGCTCTCAAATTCCTTAGGGCTATCATGTTCCTCACTTGTAGGCAATCCGCACTGGCAAATTCCTAACTCCTCAGTCAGAACAAATTCCTCAGAGACCAGAAGAACTTCGTCTTTATCACTGAAGAAATTGACCGACCTGTATGAGATTTCCAATGGCTTCACTCGAAGGGATTGGTAGGTGTAGGATTTTGAGTTGAGCATCACCTGGGAACTTTTTCGTAGTTTTACCTCGACCCCTTTAACAATACGGTGTTTTCTATGATTCAAGAAAGAGAAAATGAAACTTAAAAAACAAAAGTCTTCACGCTTCATATTCCTCGCATGAATATCAAGTCTTCACGGTCACACCAATTTCTTCACTTTCAAAGTCTTCAGAAAACCAAAGTCTTCAGTTGAAGACATTCATTTTTAAGGGTCGACTTTCTCTATAAATATCAAACTCCTCATAGACTTGTAGACCTGTGTACACTCACAAACACATTAGTCCCTTAACCTATAAGTCTTCAATACTCTAAAATTACTAAGGGGCACTAGATGCACTTACAATTGCCGACCACCACCACAACCCCCTCCTCCTCGCCATCTCCCATGCCCCTTCCAAGTTATCCCGAGTTACATTCATGGTGATCTAGAAAAAATAAACAAAATTGATACTCCAAAAAAAATTCTTAAAGACCATTTTTTCAAAGCACAATAAGTATTATTTCTTCAAATGTTTTGGATGTAGGTTGAACAGTTGAACGCTTTTGTTTTTAAAACATATTCTTTTATCTATCTATACCTACTATTAAAGAAAGGTAATATTCTCGGTTTGGTTTAGTTTGCCACTTTGATTTTCGTGTGTCATTATTTACGTCAAATTTCGTCTACGTTCATTATCCTGCCTCCTTACTCGCCCAGTTTAAACCGATTGGAAACGATTCAAGCCAACGAGGCAGGAAGCCCATCTAGCGGTAGCAGGCCAGTCTTTTTCTTTTCCGAGCTAACAGTAACAGCTTAGCCGGTCGTGATTGGAGACAACCAGTCCTTCTTTTCTAACGAGCTAGCGGTAGCGGCCCCAACCCTACCGATAGATTGAAGGCAGCCAATCCAGCACGCATACACACGTAATCAGTTTTAGCAAAATTCATTGTCTAAAGAGAATTAAATAATCCCATCATGCTTTCTTACATTGAATCGTGTCTGTTTATATAAGGCATTAACTTGCTAGGTACGAGTAATCAGCAAGCTGGTTTGAGAATCATTTACCAGATGATAAGGCATGGAGGCAGACTGCAATCAAATTTCTGGGCATCGGTTATGGCCAAATTTATCTGGATTCATGATAAGTGTGCATGTTGCACACAAAGAAATTAAGTCTGCATTCGGTCCGGTGGTGAACTAATTAAACTTGATTCAGGACATGCATGCATATGATGCACAAGAAGGAATTAACTCTGAATACCCCGGTACTGGGCTAATTAGGTGCTATGGGAATTATGAGATGCATAATTACAATATTGAAAGCAAGAATTGCACGTCATCATTAATTGAACATTGTGAGAGGGAGTTAAATCTGAATTCCAAGAAAAGACAAGAGATGAAATCTCTTGGATTTTAATGGAAGGAAAAATCATGCATATAGAGAGATTAAATATGGATTGAGCTAAGGGCACTTTGAACACATTATATATACTTATTTAGATTTAGATACTCCTTCTCTTTTCCCTCTAAAGCGTGTAGTAGCTTCTCAACGAACATTGTTCGAAAGCTGTTTCTCACCAAATTTAATTACACTTTAATAAATTTTTTCCGATGCAACGCACAGACATTTGTGCTAGTTTTGCCTCTATTTACCATTCACCCGGATACTTATGAGCTCTAGAGATGAAATAATATTCAAAGAAACCTATCGATTTTTTTGAGCATCAGTTCAGACACAAGCGCTCATATACACGCGCATACACTCACCTCTATGAACGCACACACGCACACTCTACCCCTATGAGCACCTCCGAAAGACGGAACCGTCATATCATCTTGAGATTTACGAAGACACCTTATGCGCCTCGTCGTTGATGGAAACGTCTCCTCCCATTGAATACACATAGCCGAAAATCCTAAAATAAATTCAGGAATAAATGCGAGCATTATGATTTGAACCCTGATGGGCTGAGAATATCATGGTCCCTCTAACCATCCAACCACAGATTGGTTCCAAACCTATCGATATTTGTTACATTTAAGATGACCCACATACTTCGTCAAATAAAACAAAAGTACCTACATGTAATTCGTACTCCTACTTGCGAAGGGTCTACGAGTCGAAACCGTTTTTCTTCGGGTGCATAAACGCGAAAGTAAGAACAGACGAACACCACAGGGAGTCAAAAGCACAAATAAAACAAAATAAATAACCTTTTCAATCAAAAAAGTAAAACGAAATCTTCTACTCAGCTTCGTTTCCACGCGCAGGAAACCCTAGAAATCCCCCCACCCGATTCCTCTCGCCAGGATCCCCCAACCCTTCCTCGCCTCCGGAGGCCCGAGCCGTAGTTCCCGACCCCCCAGTCGCCCAATTTCGCCGCAGCCCGATCCCCGGAGTCCCGCTCCCTTCTTCTATCCATTTGGGCGGGCCGCCGGAAAGCGACTCGGGATGGTGTTCTACTTCAAGGCGCGGCCCGACGCCGGTGACTACACCATCTTCATGGGGCTCGACAAGCATGAGAACGAGGACCTCATCAAGTACGGCTTCCCCGAGGACATCTGGTAATCGCCCTTTCATTCTACCCAGACCTTTTCTTTTTCCTGTCATTATGTGCTATTTCTTTGTGCATCTTGAATCGATGCCGTAGTGACGGAAGAATGAAGAATTCATGGAGTACGGGACAAGGACATTTCTCTGGTTTGCAGAGTAGGTTTCTAGATGGGAGTTGGTTGTTTGTTCACGAAAGTTTGCTTATGGTTAGCAGCTGTTTCCTCATTGATGATACCAGATCAGGATATTGTCGTCTGTTTTGATGCTGCTTTCAGATGCATAGCTTGAGTGAGCAGTAGTCGATTTTTTTCAAAGGAGATATGCTTGATTTCTGTCAGAAATTATTGTTAGTTAACTGTGAAATGCTGTGCCAGTGAGTTTCGTATAATGGATTAATGGGTGTTCTTCATTGATGTCACCATGAACAATAATCACGGTGAGGTTAATATGTTGGAACTTAGAATCATAGTGCCATCTTTTTCACTGTGAATTGGGTTCACGGTTCATCACTTCATAAAAGGGTAGTTTGTTAGTTCGTTTCACGATCCAATTAAATTTGGTTCAAGATATAACAATATATATTAACATACGAGCAAAAATAATCCATGTCATCTTGCTCCCATCCCTGAGCATAAGCCCTTATGAGCTCACCACCTCTTATTCCATCCTCCCATCTCCTCACCCATAAATTAAAGACCCCACCACCAAATTTCTCCTCCGCAGCCTGCTGGTCCTGCTTTAAGCCTCCGCTTGTGCAACTAAACCTTTGCTCCTCAACAATTATAGCTGTGGACATGGTCAAGACACAGACTGTGCTTTAGCGTTGTTTGGTTGCCCATGTATTGCGTGAGCAGGCTGGCAGGATGCAGTGAGACACCCTGTTTGGAATTTTGATGCCTGCTTATGTCCTTGGGTCTGTCCAGCATGATGTAAATGGTCCTGGCTCCAGGGAAACACATTTCATTGTGTTTCCCCTGGCTCGGTGCACGGGGCCGTCAGTGTTAGAGGTTAGCCCCTACTGGTTCAAGCCAATCTTATGCAGACACATACTCCCTATGTCATCAACAAAAGGAGCTTCCTGCCTCAGCATGTCTCATACACATAGGCCACCAAACACAGGCACCTCCATGGACTCAACGTCCGAGTCTGTCCTGGGAAATCTAGGTTGAGCACATCCTATATACTTAAGTAGTTGATTCCCACAACTTCTGTTTGTCACAAAATGCACACATGCCATCTCATCAACCCCACTACTTTTATTTCTCTTAACATCCATGTGAAATGCTACTTTTACTATTTCTCTCAACATGCACACATCCCACTTCATCAACCCCACTGCTTTTATTTCTCTCAACATGCATGATAAATACTACTCATATTGTATAAATATTTTTACAACTATATAATGATCAAATGCACTAAATCATATGTATTTGTAACTTAATTGTTATATTAAAATTTCAGACAATCAAATCTCATCAAAACAATATATTGCAACCACTTCTGGCAGCAACATGTGGGGTATCTCTAGTTGTTAATGTTATGGGTAACTAGTAGCTGCTTGGTCGGGTGCAGAGTAGCGAGTAATCGGTGCATCGGCTGATTAACTGATTTATCGGTCGATCATTGATCGGTGGGTTAAGTTAACTAATGGTAAACCAACACTTAGCATCCTACTTTCATACAACAGAGGAAAGGAGGAAACA